TGTGTGTGTGTGTGTGTGTGTGTGTGTGTGTGTGTGTGTGTGTGTGTGTGTGTGTGTGTGTGTGTGTGTGTGTGTGTGTGTGTGTGTGTTTTCCCACCATGTCTGTGTGTTTGTTGGTGTTTTAGATGAGCTGGTATCTTCAGGACATGTGCGTGGTGTTTGCTGGACCGCTCCCTGCCGGCTTCTCCGAGAAAGCAGTGAGGCGACTGTTCCGCTGCTGCGGCTCAATCAGGGCCGTCGAAATGCTGGAAACCACACACAGGGTGCGTCGTACAGGCACAAGCGCAAAACCGAAATATTACCCCCCTCTGCCGGGTTTTGCATCGAAGGTCCTGTCTCGCCGTTTTCTGTAGGTTCATGCCGTGGTGGAGTTCGAATTACTCGAAGCCGCTGCGCTGGCGCTACAAATGCTAAACGGTGCCACCGTGCAGGGACACACTGTGAAGGTGAGCTTGTCAACTCGCAAGATGTCATCATTAATACAGATTGTAGTTAAAAACATCTTGGAGTGTTGCTTTTGGAGTACAGTAAAACCTCCCAACGTCCTGTGGGAATGAGTTTGAACCTGCGTGATGCCATGCACGACCTCAGTTCCGTGAGCATCAAAGGGTGACTCATTTGTTTTTTTATTTTTTATGCATTTTGGATTTGTAATTTTTTTGAAATTGTAATTCTTCTTTGCACAACATGAATAAATTTACTTTTTTTTTCACTACAGTTGCATGTTTAACAGAGGCCCCAATTTTGACCACTTCCATTCTTTTCAAGCAAAACAACGCGAGCGTACGTATTGTGTATGTCTCAGGTTCAGAGGCCGGTGACAGAGTCCACGCTGGATTTTGACGTGACTCTGGACGCCCTGATGAGCGACGCCGTCAACGCGCGCCGTCTCTACGCGCTCAAGCTAAAATGTCACATGACCGCCAATGGGCACACACCGGACGGCAAGCTGGCAGTGAACAGCTGCCCATCCGTGTCGCTTCCCATCAAAAAGTGCAAGCTGAGCGATGAGACGCTGACGAAGACGTTTGGCCGCTTCGGAGTCGTGGAAAGGGTCGCGTTGATGGACGAACCTGAAATGGAGCCCAATTATGCCTACATACGTGAGTGGCGGAAACACGACAATAGCAACATTTTTTTTCTCCCTTGGAAGTAACATTTTCGCCAAGTTGTCATGTAGGGATTTTCTTATCACTGTCCTATAAGTGGTGCAGCCACAAAAAAAGGTCACGATGGAGTGATACAACTTAACATTAAGAAATCATTTTTGACTATTTTTTCAATTAAAATGTGATACAATTTTCAAAATTTTGTAAAACAATGTTCTTAATTCAAATACATCCCAAAGAAATACATTGATTTGCTCTTATTTATATGTTTTATTTGTATTGTGGATTTGTAAAATAGAAAAAAATCTGTTTTATGTTCATGAATTTTTAAAATATAAAACGTGCAATTGTAACTCATTTTTTCTAATTGAAAGACTTAACAAGTGTAACTACATACAAAATATAATACATGTAAAATAAAACATAATCATGTCATAATCACACAAATGCCCAAAAATCTTTTGTTCTTATCCAATTTTAAAATATTTCAAAATCTGATTTTTTTGAGGCCTGCATTTCATATCTAAATTTTAAAATATTTATCCAACTATTTTTTTTACATTTATGTATACGCTAATATTTAAATATTCAAAAGAAAAGGTAATGTAACAGTGTGGTAAACCTGACCCTGTGTCTCAGTTTTTGGGGAACGCGTTGCAGCGGTAAAATTCAAAGTCAAACTTTTTTCTTTTAAGTGAATAATCATCATCAGTTCAAATATCTTGTCATTGTAGTGTATTCAATTAAATACAGGTTGAACGTGATCATTGGGTTCTGCTTTTATGTCCTAACTATATTAGAATTGGGTTTGTACGTGTTATTGTAAAATATAGTGTGTGTGTGTGTGTGTGTGTGTGTGTGTGTGTGTGTGTGTAAAAACGTAACACACAAGTGTAAAATTTTTTTTTTTACTCTAAGATATGCCAATGGATGTGATGTCACAAAAAAAAGCCAACGCTTGTCGGTCTTCTTTTCCACAGATTTTGCGCATTCTGAGGGGAAACAGGCGGCTGTCGACTCCTCCGCGGAACTTTGGCAGGAAAAGTACGTGACATGTCCGGCGCTGACTCCAGCAGACGCTACTTGCGGTGTGAGCCCGCACGAAGGGCCAATTCACTTCGGAGGCCAAACACACCACAAATCTCCTCAGGTTCATGATACACTTCGCTTTACACTTATCAGAGTATCAGACTAGAACGCTTGCTAGTGACGTTTCAACCATATCGTCAAACCCGACTCCAAAACGTTTGGGTTTTTTTTTTTTCGTGAAGGATGCGGCACTGCAGCGGATGATGAAGAACCTGGACACACGACTGGGGAAAGTCTTTAGGTCTCTCCCAGAATGCACCTTGTCTGTGGTGCTGCTGCTCGCTCACAACAGGTCACTTTCAAATCTTTTTTTTTTTTTGAAACACAAAGCTTTCTCGTGATCTTTTTTTTCTCCCCTTTTCATCTCCTTAGTGCTCATAATCCGCCATCGCCTGGTTTGTGCCTTTTGGAGATCAAGCGTAAGAAGTCAAGTCAAGCCCTCACATGACAGCACGTGCGGTGTCGTGGACATCCACTTCCGGTGTCCAACAGACTCAATTCAAAAATGGGGATGAAACTGTGACCATCTTCAAAACACGTGAGAATAGAACTGTGGTACAGAAGTGGAAAAAATAAATCTGAAAGTACCTTTGACGGCACAAGACATTATTGGAGGGAGGGAAGCGGGGGCGCACATTTTGGTGAACTTCTCCAATGAAACTACAACCCAGTCGTGTTACCGCACTTCCTGGTTGAAACTAACCCCTAAGTAACATGACTGAAGAGAACAAACGTGTGAAACAAAGCGACGTAGGCAGCGACAGTAAGAAAATTCTTTAATTTTTTTTTTCATTTCCCTACTCCCCCGCCCCTCCAAGGAAATATTGAAGGATTTTGAACCTCATACAAAACAATGTAAATATGTATATAGATTTTGACACATTTGTCATACAACTACAAAACAAACAATCTGTACAAAAACGACACACAGAAGCACCTCCAGTAGGGTCCAAATCGGCACAGCAATAAATTATCACATTGTGGTTGTCGATACCGTTTCTGTATGTTTGATAAAATAAGACCATTTCATAATATGTGTTTCTTTAAAAAAAAAAACAAAAAAAACCGACAGCTTTTTAAATAGACATTACGCTGAACCCTGATGGTGTAAACTACATGTTCACCTTACGGCAGCTGAGCTAACACACAAGTAAAAAAAATAATAATAATATTGGGACCGACCGCGCCGGCTCCATTCCGGTATCGTCACAAGTATAAAAGAACTGTTTGAAATTCAAGATGAAGTGTGGAAAAGCAGAACCGTCTTTATGGCTTGTGGGGGTTTGTGTGCTGGTCCGCACCTGCAAGCGAGCAGGCGCTCTCCTGGGCACGCCGAGCCCCCGAGTGCTTCTCGACTTTGTTGCTACCACGCCTCGGGAACCTCAAACAACGCTGACGAAGTTCCAGCAGCTGAATGAGGAGAAAAGCGGGGGATTTAGGAAGAGAAATGTTCCCATCGCAAATATGATGAACAGGAGCAAACCTTCCGATTTCTTCTTTTTGTTCTTCTGACTTTTCTGTGCGGGCGGCACGGCTGCTGCGGCAGAGGCCTGCCGCCAGCTGAGTGTCCCCTCGGCCTCTTTTGCCAAATCAGCGGCAACTTCCTCCTCGGGGACGGGACTCGACCCGGACGATTGGGTAGCGTCCCTGCAGGGAGCGGTAGGGGCGAATTTCAAAGTGGCGTCCGAGGCGATAGGAGGGACAAAATGGAATCGATGGACTTACATGGTCTTCAGCCATCCCTCTGACGTTTTGCTCTCCACAACTTCTGTAATCAATCGGAATAATATTCAAATCAGCAAATCCCGTCAGACTTCAGAAGATCTTGCGAGACTTGAACAAATCCTGTGAAATGCTGATTAGCATGCCAACAGGTGGCCAGCAGTTGTGAAGGAAAACACAAGCACACACCATCAGTTTTCATCTTCTTGCTCCCTGTGCCGTCTGAGTACGAGTAGTGACTCCAGCCGTCTGCGGCCTCGGCGCTTCCCTGCTCCGCCTGGATGGGACTGCCGCTGCGCTTCCTCAGAGCTCTGGGACAACGACAACGGACATGTTGCTTTAATGCTTACGACTAATACGACAGATATTACCAAACCAAAATGAAACAGCCATAGAATATAGGAAAGTGTACAGTGCAATGTTTTTTTTTCCCATTGGGACTGGAATATATAATGGCACTTACCAAGTAGATTACTACTTTAATGCTTACTACGACTACTAAAACAATGACAGAACCAGATGATTTAGTCAGTTTAGCATAAGGGGAGTTTTGGGGGGAAATATGAAATTTAATTGACTCTACTAAATGGGGACACCAGCGCATAGTCTGACTTAAGTCACTTGAACACAACTGTCTTTATCGAGCACTTAAGAACCACCCCTCAATACAAAGTGATGCACGTGGAGCAAAAATAATTCATACAAAAACAAAAAAATGATGGAAATCCAGCTTCTTTCATCTGTGGCAGCTGGCGAAGGTAAAGCCATGCCTTTCTCAAGAACACTTTGAAACACTAATTCATGCCTTCGTCACATCTCTGCTGGATGACTGTCATGCACTTGGCTTTGGAGTCAGCCAATCCTCCATGAAGTGTCTCCAGTTGGCCCAAAATGATGCTGCTCACCGCTTGACTGCTACTCGGAAGAGGAAGCACAGAACTCCTACTCTGGCTCCCTGTTCATTTTAGAGCTCTTATTTGTTTTCAAATCTTGAAATGGCCTCGCCCATCTTCCCAACTATTCAGCCTTTTGATGGCATAATGCTCACTACTCATAACTACAAAGTTAGCATAGTAAAATATTCCACGTAATGCAATTGAATTGAGTAAAATGTGATTTAACTGCCACCACTCCAAGGGTCGCCAATGCAAAAGTTTCTCTTAACCAGGAGGATGGAATATTATCGCTAAGTTCGTGCTTCCTATGCCTCCTTTAGTCTTACAAACATGTAGGAAAGTATCAAATGAAGTAAAAGAGGGACCATAGTGTCAAGTACAAGGTGGCGTTGCTTTCATGCTTACTACGATTATTTACAAAGCCATTTGTGAGCAGGTAAGAAGTGCTTGACATAAAGCTCGATGGAAAGTACGTGCGAGCAGAGGCGTCGTACCTGGGGTATCCGAACCCGCTAGAAGTGGCAGAGGCCGGGTAGTGAGGCTGGACCCAGCCGTCTTCTGTCCAGGACTTGGAAGTGGGCGGCTGCTTCTCCTTCTCCTGCTGCCTGCCCTGAATGTACTCGGCGTACGTCTGGATCTTGTAGCTCTCGGCATAGCGGCTGGTGTTCATGGCTATTTGCACCTGGTCCGTTTGACTGAGGGACACAAAGGCGGACGTGTCGTCCACCCACGAGACCTGAATGTTTCCTGAGTAGACACGAATAGGAAATGAGCATGAGTGACACGCACTGGGTTGTTCGTGGAACTGATCATGTGGTCGTCGACCTTTACCGAAGGCACTGAAGAGCTGGTAGAGGTCGCTGGTCTTCCATTCTTTGGGGAAGGTGACGTAGAGGACGTTGTCTCTCTTCGGTTGCACTGGAGCAACAAAGACAATCAATATAAGCAACGGAGGGGAATCCCGCACTGTATATTTTGTTCATCAGTACGGTCGCGGCAGCAGGTCACTGCCCAAGTTTTGTTGTCACGAAGGCCTTTTCACTATTTGGTGGAGGAAAAAAAATCTGGTCGTTGTGAAGTTTACGTTCTAAAAGGTGTTCGTTGTCAGCAAAATCGGCAAATGAATGACGTGAAAGCGGGACTTTGAAATGTGAACGTTATTGGGCTGAAAACGTAAATGGGGTACAATGAAAGGAGGTTCGACTGTACCTCAAACTCAACATTGTGTTAATTCAAATAGTTTTTTTGGATTGGGGTTCCTTTACAGACACACATGCATTTTTCTTTTTGTGTCCCCCCCCCCGCCCCAGAAAATTACAATCATATTTATTTGAAATATGTTGTGTCGTACAGCGAAGAGTGCTGCTGTAATACTCACAGTCTGGTCCTGCGATATTGAGGTAGGGGATGTCTATTATCCTCATCAGGAAAAGTCTGGAATCAAACCAACGGTGAACGTCGCCAAAGGGACGAGCAGCCAAACGACGGATACAAAAATGGCGAGGCACGGCGAAACCGGCATTACTCACTTGTTGTAGAACGGCTCAATGAGTTTGGAGTGAGCTGACACGTACGCTTTGGGTGGCGTCAGGAAAGAACCTGGAGGGAAAAACGGAGTGATTCATGAGAAAGTTGTCTTCGATTGATTAAGAAGAACCGTGTTGTGTCGCGCTACCCAGGAAGTTGGCCATTGAGATGAAGCAGCGTCCGGTGATGTAGGCGTCATAGCCGGCCTCGTGCAATTGCTCCTTGGCTGTGTTGTAGCTCGGAAAGCCTTCAGCCGCCTCTTAGGACGGAAAAAAACAACAACAACAAAAAAAACAGATCCGTGAAGAGCCACTGTGTGCGTGTGCAAGCATGTGCGTGCGCTTACCGATTTGAGGAGCCTTGAAAGGGCTTTCGTTCAGCTGCTTCTCCAGCTCGGCCAGAGACGTGTTGTTGATCAGGTCCTGCAACGTGCACGGAGATGAGTTTTATAGAATACCACATACGCTAATGCCCCGCATATTTGTGCTGTGTGAGCTGCTCACTGGAAAACTTGGCAATTCCTGCATTTTTAGGCTGTCTGTCATACCTCAAGATGGAAGCTAATTTGAAAGTTGTCACTGGTCTTAACCGCATGTGAACACTTTTGCATCATCAATGAAGGATTTTTTTTTTTGCATCTAAGAATTCAATATATTTGTTTTGATATTGACAAAAATAAAATGTGCAGCTATCGCACAGTCACGGAAATAATCTTAGATGCACCTTAAAGGGCTGAGTGGACGCCATCAACTTTGTGTCCAGAAGCCTGCGAGAAGACAAAAATCATGCAAAAGGCAGACACAGAAAGCATCGGTTGCCGTCAGGAAGTGGGTAAGAAACGCACCTGGGGAAAACGCACATGGTGACCTCTTTAAAATCTTGAAGATCCTGGAGAAAGGGGGGGGGGGGAGCAAGAGAGAAGAGAGAGCGTGTGCGTTAAGTAGTTCAGAAATGACACCATGACAACATCCCGAAGAGCGCAGCGTACGTTGGGCAGGGGGCAGTAGAACTGGTGGATGGTGTGCATCACGTCCAGCAGCATGTTGTGGCCCACCACCAGTTTACCCTGCCAAAAACGTTTCCGGTTGATCCAGACTCACGTTTTAAACATCAAGTCAAAGTTCCAGAAATGCAAGATTGTGACTCACAGACTTGGAGATGGCGTGGATGACCCGGGAGAAGCCCACGGCATCATTTAGCTGCATCTGGTGGAATGGAGTATTATAAGAGAAGACAAGACAAAAAAATATATATATATATAATGTTGATTTAATGCAAGAGTCATTTCTCAGGACATGTTTTTGCCAACCTGCTCCTTCTCCAATTTCTGCTGCTCTCTCTTCTTCCTCTCCTCCTCATCTACCTTACTGACCTGGATGATGCGGTCCTTCTTGAAGACAAAAATACATAAATAAAATATTGCGGATGGATTTACTGTTCATGCAACTATTTCATTACTCATTCAGGGTGCTCGCATTTTCTGGAAGCTAAACTAGTACTTCTTTTGGGTTTATGGAACGTATTAATTGGATAGACATTCTTTCCCATTCGAAATATTACTTTGGTTTTTGTACGATTTGGTTTTTGTCACTTCAGGACAAAAAATAAATAAAATAAAAATAAAGTTCCACTGCTTACAAAAATGACAAAGCCAGTTTTAAGACTTCCATTTTGATTTCTTTTGGCCAGACTCCTTTGCTCCAGTAGAAATCACAAGCAAGCAAACGTAAACATACATTGAGTTTCACTACCTTGTCTATTTCCATGGTTTCTACATGGAGCCCTTTTGGAAACCTGTCAGTCAAAAGGAAAAGACAAATGAATCCCTCTGAACAAATGAAGCAATAAAAGTAAAGTGACAGAACATACTCACTTCCAATTGAGAGTTTGGTAGATCAACTTCCTCTGGAACCTAGGATGGAAAAATAACTCAATGAAAAATCAGACCTACAAATGTATATAGAAACACGTGGGGATTCGTGCCCGCATCGCTTCTCAACGGGCAAGTTTAAGTGTCGGCTTACCCGGTGCACGGCTCCAGGTCGACTGTTTTCTCCGTGCTTGAGAACAGGGCCTCCACCTTCTCCCTACGTCGGGCAACGTCAGAAGCAAGTCATTATACCGAACAAGTCGGGCGCCTCGGCTGCCGCTTTTGTCCAAGACGTACACCACTCTGTTGATGAAGTCCTTGTGCTCGTCGGGCACGTGGGCGGGGCCCTTGGAGCAGGACGGCGAGATGTAGGACGGCGTTCCGACGCCGTTGGCCTGCTGGCTTCGCTTCTCCTCCGTCTGCTCCCTCAGCTGGGCCTCCTCCTCGTGGTTCAGGTAGGGGATTCCTGTTGATGTTTCACATCCGACTTTAGGACTGGGCGATACTTATATTTAATTAATTGCAAAAATCATGATTAAAAAAATTTTATCTGAGCCACAAAGGGGCACCCTGGTGTGAGCGAATGCTGTAATGCTCAGATCTGGCAAATTTTCTGAATCGCCGAATCAGTTATCCAGAAAGACCTGGCTTGGAAGCGTTGCTATTTCACTCACCGTGACAGAAAACCTTGTTGAAGTCAAAGCCCTGACTGGCCAGGAAGTCAATACTGGAACTCTGAAATCATGAAAAATCAAATAAAATAACTCGACCTATAGTAGTCACTTGAAGCTGATGATAAAATTTTGAAAGGAAAAAGTGCAGATTTACTTGGCAGATAAACTTGATGTCAGGTGACGTCCGGTTGAAAGGTTTTGGGAATATATAAAAGTTAAAAGTCTTTGTGACGTATCTGCAAGAGAGAATGGCAGGTTAACTGCTTTGCACACTTGTTTGACAATGTTTAAATTTAAAAATAAATAAAAAATAAAAAGTGCCGCGAGGGAAAAATGAAGGATTACTGTTAAAACAGGTTTACTGGAGATTTCAGAAAGAGCACAAAACCCCCCCCCATATAATTTTTTATATATTTTTTTTCTTCGCCATGTCATTTCAGGGCACGGATGTCAAACACATTGTCGCAGGCCACTTTGGAGTTGTGTCTTCCCTCGGAGGGCCGTTATGAAGGTGGAACCACAAAAATGTTTCATTGTCTCATTGCATTATGACTTGCAAACAACAAATGAATGGTTTACAAGTTAATTATAATAGTTTATTCAATTATTCTTCAAGTGAGTGTAAAGAGGGTAGCAAAATTATTGCCCCCCCCCAAAATCTCAGTGTTGCTTATAACACATGACAGTTTGACATTTCGGTGGAGATTTTAGCAAGCATCATGCAAGTTGACACACGTGATATGCTTTTGCGGGCCACGTAAAATGGTGTGGCAGGCCGGATCTGGTCCCCGGACCTTGAGTTCGACACCATACTTTAGGGTCTCCGTTTTTCAGTGCATGGCTACTGTTCGGTTCCACAGAGGGGGAAAAAAATACATTTAATTGGTGAGAATCCAGTCAGGTTTCTATTCCCATTCAGTCCTAATGGGGAAAACACTCACTTGGCGTCTTTCTGGTCATACTTGAAAGTGCAGAGCCCGAATTGGAAGAGAAGAAAATCCATGGAATGCTTAGTTTAGGGAAGAGAAAAGAAGAGATTGGATTAGCCTGTGGAGCAATTTAGAGGCGTCTAAACGTCCCCCTTGCACACCTTTTTAAGCTTGGTGTAGCGTTCCTCCGGCGTGTCCAGCCCATTGGTGAGTGCGCTGACGCTGGGTCCATCGCTGATCCCTGGGAAACACGCGAAAGGCTTGACATCCACACCACATACCTTAAATTACACAATTAGTCATACCTGAAAACTCTCCATCGATGGCAAGAAAGTCAGCCTCCTCTATCGCGGTGTACACCAGGATCAAACAGTCTTTAAAAGCTGGAAATTGTCAACGATAAACGAGAATTTTCGCGTTAGCTTAGGGAACAAGAGTGCTCGATTCGCACACGCGCTAGCGACGACAGAGGGGGGCAGTCGCGCGCTTATTCATTTTTAAGATACGCATGCTTATGCAATAACTTGAATAGTGAGAGGTGGGTTTGACAAAATACAAAGGCTGGCGTGTAACACTTACATTTGCGTGTCACCTCCATCCCGACGCGATAGCTGTGAACCTTCGGCCGGTGCTGAGAGCTAAAACGGTTGCTAGCCGACCTCGTTTGGCTTTTCAAGGTGAGTTCATGTGACACTGGGAATTTGGAACTTCTCAAAACGCGTCACTGAAAGAGAAGGGTCCAGCTGCAGGCCCGGAGGAGGCCGATTCAGAGCAGGTAGGTTTAGGGAAGTAACTTTACGACGGATATGACGTCAGAAGGATGATGCCCGATTCCAAAGTAAGTCGCATGTGGATCTTAAAAAGTTTAAAAGGCCCTGTAATTGGAAGATAATTTAACAGCAAAATCAACTAAAAGTAAAACGGAGTTGTGTTATTTTAATGCACGACAACAACTACGACGGTAATATTGAGTCGACGAGCGTCAATGAAAACTTTATGCCAACTTGAATCCCGGCTACACTCACATTCTCTCGACGATAGAATATATAGCGCAAGTGAGGATGAAATGTTTTAGCACGCCTAGTTGTTTATGAATTAGATGATAATGTCAAAACGACGTTGACATTAATAATTAAATTTCGGATGAATATATGTATGTTTGTGAATGGGTAAATACTGGTCATTTTTTAAAGGGCTTTGGGCTACGACAAAGAAGTGCGAAATGCGTAAAATATGTGCATTCAATTAAAAATTGACTGC